GCCCTCTGATGGACGGTGCTGGGGGGGGCCCTCTGATGGACGGTGCTGGGTGCCCTCTGATGGACGGTGCTGGGGGGGGGCCCTCTGATGGACAGTCCTGGGTGCCCTCTGATGGACGGTCCTCGGGGTTCCTCTGATGGACAGTCCCGGGGGGTTCCCTGGGGGATAGTTCTGGGGGTCCTCGGGGAACCGTGCTGAAGGGTCCTCTAGGGGACAGCACTGGGGGTCCTGAGGGGACAGCGCTGGCATGTCCTCAGGCACCTTCTCTTTGCTCTCAGGTGGTGATGTCAGGATATATCTTCATTTTACCTAAAACCATTTGCAATTTAAATGAACTGCCGTGAATAATTCTTTCTTTTCTTTTCTTTGTCAATTGGTTGTAGTGTTCGTGGAAAAAGTGCTGAAGAGGCTTTTCCCTAGTGCTCCCTGTGGCCAAGAGAAGAGGGCGCCAGTGACTGCAGCTTCTGAAAAACCGGCCCAGAGGGCGGCCACGGAGGAGCTCAGGGGCAGCCGTGCCCCCACCTTGACAGGTGATGGGCTTTCGGGGGGGGCGGGGGAAGGTCGGTGAGGGTTTCCTGGCGGTTATCATGTTTCCCCTGGAGCAGGGGGCTCTGCCTGGCCCCCGTGGGTGGCGACCCCTCCACGTCTTGCGTCTGGCAGCCAGGGTCACTGTACCCACGCTCTGGACTGCAGCGCGCTCAGTGGGGAGAGAAGCCAGGGCCGGTACCTCCACCAAAGACCGTCCTGCGTGCGCTGTGCTGGGCAGAGAGCATCACCCTCCCGGTGCAGGCGTGGAAGCAGCTGAAGAGCTGTGGCCAGGGCGCAGGGAGGACCCCTCGCGAGAGCCAGGGAGTGTGGGGCCGTGGCCAGCTTGCTTCCCTTGGGGGCTTCATCCCACAGTGTGGCTCGCAGACCTGGGCCCTGTCCTGGGACACCCCCCATCCACCCTGTGGCGCAGACCCGTCTCGGTGTGCCATGGGCAGTTTGAGGGCCGATGTCAAATTCCAGGGACAGGTGTGGCGGCAGGTGCTCGAGCGGTACCCATGGGTGCCCTGTGGCTGGAGGAGGGGCAGCGGGTCAGTACGTCTGAGAGCGTTATTATTTCACAGGTGCTGGTGAAAGAGCCTCATTTCTATGCTCCTGTGTGAAAATCCTCACAGCATACAGCAACATTTTTTGTTACATAAAATTCACTTAACGTAAAGTCTACTGTTTTCACCATTTCAAAGCATACAATGTAGTGATTTTTGGTATGTTCACAACACTGCACAAACATCAGTAATTCCAAATCCTCAATGTCACTGTACACAAACGCCCAGCCGCTTGTACCCGCTGCCTCCCACCCTCCACTTTCCACCATGGCTTTGTCTCCTCGGCATGTACCACGTAAGGAATCACATGCGAGGCGCATTTTGTGATGGGCCCCCATGAAGCCCGGCGTCTCCCGGTTCATCCACGTCGTGGGTGTATCTGTCTTACGCTCCTCTTTATCGCTGAGCACCGCCCACTGTGCATGGAGTACGTTCTGTTTACTCGCTGGTCAGGGTGTGCACCTGTGGGTTGGATGTCAGTGGTTATCATGAATAATGCTGCTGGAACACCCACGCATAAATGTTTGTGTGACTTGTGTTTTCACTTCTGGGTGTGTGCCAGGCGTCCCCTTGCTGGGTCCTGTGGTGATTCTGAATTTCACATTCAGAGAGACTGCCACACTGTTGTCCACGCCGTTGTCCACACTTTTGTCTATGCCGTTGTCCACGCTTTTGTCCACAGTGTTGTCCACACCACTGTCTACACCATTGTCCACACCACTGTCCACACTGTTGTCCACACCATTGTCCACACTGTTGTTCACACTGTTGTCCATGCCATTGTCCACACTATTTTCCACACTGTTGTCCACACCACTGTCCACACGGTTGTCCACACCACTATCCACACCGTTGTCCACACCACTGTCCACACCGTTGTCCACACCACTGTCTACACTGTTGTCCACACCGTTGTCCACACCATTGTCCACACTGTTGTTCACACTGTTGTCCATGCCATTGTCCACACTATTTTCCACACTGTTGTCCACACCACTGTCCACACCGTTGTCCACACATTGTCCACACCACTGTCCACACTTGTCCATGCCACTGTCCACACCGTTGTCCACGCCATTGTCCACACGGTTGTTCACACTGTTGTCCACACCACTGTCCACACCGTCATCTACACCATTGTCCACACCACTGTCCACACTGTTGTCTGCACTGTTGTCCACACCGTTGTCCACACTGTTGTCCTCACCATTGTCTACACCCTTTTCCATGCCATTGTTCACACCGCTGTCTGCATTGTTGTCCACACCATTGTCCACACTGCTGTCCCTGACACTATCCAGCTGCTGCACCGAGCAAGTGCCTGGGGTCCTGCGGGCTTACTTTCCTCGGCTGCTGGTCCCCCATTTGCAAAAGGAGGGCCTAGTAGGTGTAGACGCCACCATGGAGCACCCACCAAAGGGACGATTAGGAACGCTGCTCTCACAGAAAGAAAATGAATTATTCTAAGGACAAGTCTTTCCAAGTAGCATATTTGACATTCTGTGCTTTCAGCAAAATTGAAGGAAATAATTTAGTTATCAGCCAACCGGTAAAAATAGTTTGGTGAAGGGGCGCCTGGGGGGGCTCAGTCAGCTAAGCATTCAACTCTCGGTTTTGGCTCAGGTCATGATCTCATGGTTCGTGGGTTCGAGCTTACTTGGGATTCTCTCTCTCCCTCTCTTTGCCCCTCCCCTGCTCTCTCTCTCTAAGTAAAAAAAAAACTTTAAAAATCTTTAATAAAAAATAATAATTTGTTTGATGATGGATTTCTCTGATTTTTGGCATATTCCTTACAAGGGATTCAATGAATCAAGTAATACTGCTGTTTGTAAGAAGCCATGTGCTGTCCTCTACCTATTTTTGTGTTGGGAATTTCTGAGCAGGTAGCGCTGTAAACTGAGGGCGGGGGTGGTCTGGCAGGGGCCTGTCTCGCAGCAGTGACAGCGTGCTTCCGCACTCCTTCCTGTCTTGGCCGAAGGGACTTCCTCTGTAGTGGGTAATGCTTAAAAGCAGTAATTGTTACTTTGATCAGTTGCCTTTTACTAATTCTAACAATGTAGAAAAAAGTATGTTACTATCATAGAAATGTTTTAAAGAGGAAGGTTTATTTGAGAGCTTGATGCGATGAAATTGTTATGTGAGGGCAGAACTGGGGGGAGCTGGAGTTGCTGAGGACCAAGGGATGATGGAGGATTTCTAAACGAGCCAAGAGCTTGGCCACGTATCTTATTTTCGTGGCCGTCACCTTGCCGTGGTATGCAGAGCCCCCGTCGGTGCACAGGAAGGAGGGAGGCCGCATTTGCAGCCCAACACAGCTCCGTCTCCACATGGAGGCTCCCGAGCTCTATAACGTGTCCGTGTGGAGGCACGCAGTCTTAACACTTGTTTTTAGGGAATACGTGTGCCGGAGCGGTGAGAGCACCTCTGTGCTGACATGTGGGCGAGCAGGTGGCCGGGCGTCAGTCAGGTAGGTTCGTGCTGTTGTGTCTGGGCCTTTTAGGAGTCCATGAAAATCGGTATGTGGAGAAACATCTGTGAATGCCTGGAGTGGTCATGAAAATAGACAAAGCTCTTTGGTAAAAACTGCAGTTTTCCATTAGGATGCGAATATTTTCTTATAAAATCTTGATGATACAACAGAAGAACCTCTTCTGCCCAGGTCTTGCCCTTCTTAACCTTTGTCACTTCCGGAAAGCCTGCTGTTGTGTAAGGAATGTAATTTCGGACCTCAAGGGCATTATGCCCAGTGAGGTGAGGCGGGCAGAGAAAGACGAGCACAGTGCAACCTCATGTTTCTGTGGATGCTCCAAACTCAAACTCTCAGAGAACAGACCGAGGTTGCTGGGGGCCCGGGTGGGGGCGGGGAGGCGCTGGTCGCGGGGAACCAAACTCCAGTTGTAAGGGGAGTACGTTCTGGGGCTGACAAACCGCGTGATGACTCAGCTAACGATTCTGCTTTGTGCCCCTGACACTTCCTGAGAATAGATGCGGATGTAATTCTGTGAGGGGATGAGCCGTCAGGCTGCCAGCATGGCCATCATCTTGCAGTATTTAAGTGTGTCACACCAGGACACGGTACGCCTGGATGCTCCGCCGCGTGACTGAGGTCTTGAAGCGCCCCTCCGGTCGCCTTTGCTTCTCGTCTTCCTAGAATTTGGAAGCCGCGGTCCCCATGTAGGCCCATGCTTGGTGATACAGTATACACGTTATTACGTATGTGCCTCTCCTGGGGGCTTGGGGGTTTGTGAAACTTCATACGATGGCGATTGCCGTCTAGGTAGCCGCTGCCCTGTGCTGTTGTGTGACTGTTCGGGACGTACCCCCACCTCTGGCCTCCAGCAGTCTGTTTCTGAGCCTCACGTGGCTTCCTCCACAGCTCTGCTTCGGGTTGCTGAGCTTCTTGGGACTCTGGGGTTGTGATTTTCATCACGTGGGGAATGATCAGTACCTGTTTCTTGGAGGGCTTCAGGTTCACATACGAGGCCCCCTGACGTTGCCCCAGAGCCCCCAGATGCTCTGCTGGCCCCATGCCTTGTCCCTTTCTGTGGGTTTTGTTTGACCCCCACGGGGCTATTGCATGTTCTCACAGCTCAGCCGGCTGGGTGAGTGGCCGGGCGGCAAGGTGGGCTCCCCGAGGCCCCGGAAGCTGCTGTCTGTCATCCAGCGGTGCCCGTGTGGAGGACAGAGGGGGCCGCCTCTCCTGGGCTCCTGCCCACCCTCCCAGCTCTGACTGGCCCTTCCCTGGGGTTGCTCTGCTTAGCGCCACGCTGTGAGCCCAGGCCCCACCTGGCAGCTTCTCACAGGGGTGCCTGCATCACACTCAGCAGAACACACAGGGGCCCCCAGGAGCCCTGGGCCTGCTCTCTGCAGCCTGCTTCTCCCGAGGACACTGCCTACGGCCTGCAGGCGTCTGGGCCTCCCTGGACCCCAGCTGCCAGGTCCCACCCCCAATCCTCGAGCTCACTCCGCCATGGACCATTGTGGCCTCAGGCTCATGGCCTGTCCTGTTCCTCGGGGATCAGCATCTGGAACCTGTTTATCAGGTTGGCCTGATGTAAGTTCTTCTGGCCTTTCTAGAAGTAAAGATACGCTGGGTCACCATCACCCTCTTCTTTGCACATGGACGTTTTCTGAGCACGTGTCCCCAGAGAAGTAGCTTCAGGTTTATTGTACATTCTGCCAACTTGCCTGTCAGACGTGCACCCACTCAAGTGACCCGCCAGTTCCTGCTTGCCCGGGCCTTACGCAGCAGTCGTCCAGCTGACCCTCGAATGAGCCAGGGATCAGGACGCCGACCTCGGCAGTCAGAAATGTGCCTGTAACTTCTCACTCCCAGAAACTTACCCACTGGTGGCCTACTGTTGACCAGAAGCCTCACCCGTAACACAGTCGACTAGCATTTGTATACATATCACATACTGTATTCTCACTACAGAGTCAGCTAGAGAAAAGAAAACGTCATTAAGAAAATTCTAAGGAAGAGAAAATATGTTTACGGTATGTACTGTATGTATCAAAATAAGCCTCCATATCAGGCGGCCCCAGCAGCTCACACCCGTGTTGTGCAGGGGCAGCTAACCGCGTGGAAGGAGCCTGCACTTCACTTTACTGAGTGTCTGCGAGGCCAAACGGTTCAGTGGCTTGAGCGTGTGTGTACACCGTACCGTCTGTCCATTTTCCTTTTGGGTTGTTCTTGGTTGTCATGTGACAGATTTCAGTTATTTTCATATTCCAAATCCCAATTCTTGGCCATCTGTATACCTTCTCTCCATGAATTGTCCTAATTTTTAAAAACAGCCATGTGTTCTGTTGTTTAGTTCATAGGGTATGGTTTCTCAGTCTTTAAGTCTGTGGTTAGTGCTGTTTGTGTCTGGCTTAGGAAGTCTTCCTTGGGGCACCCGGGTGGCTCAGTAGGTTGAGCGTCCGACTCTTGATTTCAGCTCAGGTCATGATCCCAGGGTCGTGAGATCGAGCGCCGTGTTGGGCTCCATGCGTGGCGTGGACCCTGCTTGGGACTCTCTCTCATATGTTCGTACAGAATTATGTCCACGGCAGAGGCTGCCCCGGCCCTCCCCAAAGCTGTAAACGCTGAAGCCCAGAGCTCGTCCCCTTGTCTGCTCCATGCAGGTACCAACCATCAGCACATCCTGAATCGGACCCCTTCCCAGAGGAAATTGTGTGCTTGACGGATGTACTTCCCTCACCCCTTAGGAGGAAGGCCTGCCTGAGTCGCACGGACACGTGTTGGTGGCCCCAAGACCTGCAGAACAGGTGGAAGAACTCTGTCTGAAGCGGGGGGGGGCAGCGGTACCGAGATGACAAAGAGCGTGCGGACGCCGTCCGACCCCGCATCCGCTCTCAAAACTCCACTCACTTGACTCAGCGATTGTCTACACGAAACCTGCAACAGATGTGTGCAGCAGCTTTGTTGGTAATTTCCAAAGTGTGGGAGCAACCAAGATGCCCTTCAGTGGGTGATGGATAAACCCCGAGGTCCGTTCAGACATGGAATATTCCGTGGCCTTCAAGCTGTGAAAAGATAACAGAGGAACCTTCAGTGCAGATCACTAAGCGAAAGAAGTCTGTCTGAGAAATCTACAAACTGCCGGATTCCAACTACCTGACATTCTAGAAAAGGCAAAGCCAGGCAGACAGGAAAAACACGAGTGGTTGCCAGCGCCGGGGTGGGGGTGGCCAGCCGGAGCACAGAGGGTTCTGAGGACAGGGACGTGGGTGCCGGGAGCCCAGACCCACCGAACGCTGGGCACCAGGAGTGACCCTCACGTGGACTGTGGACCGACAGTGCGCCCGTGTGGGACCTCTGACTGTAACAGATGTACCTTCTGGTGGGGGGAGGGGTGGTGCGTGTGTGCGGAGGCGTGTGGGGAGATCTCTGTGCCATTCTCAGTTTTTCTCTGAACCTAAAACCTAAAAATGTAAAGTCTTAAAAGATTATTTTTTAATTCCTCAGCTCTTGAGGTGCTTGGAGTGGATAACGTGTAGAAAGATTTTGTGTCTGGAATGACAGGGACAAAGGAGAGGCCGGAGCCCAGGCCCAGGGCCAGGGCCAGCGCGGGAAAGACAGGGCGTCCCCTCCAGGACTCGTGAGGGATCTAGGAAGGCTCCGGGCCGCCCACGCCACGTGGTCGCACCACGTTTCGATCATTCCCCGAGAGACTGGAAGGGGGCTGACACCCCTTACTTCTGTGGGAGCTGAAAGTCAGAAATCTGAGTACCTAATGGCCACACCTGCTGTGTGTGTAACGGAAGGAAGGAAACAAACCAGTTTTTCCGGGGGCGTGCAGTGTGAGTGGTGGCACGGTGAGAAACGTCTCCTTCGGTCGACGACGGAAGCTACCTGGCCCTCTCACAGCCTGGCTGGGGTCATGGCTCTGTGCTGAGGTCTGGGTCGGACACCCAGAACCAGCTCGCACCACCGTGACTGTCGTCAGGAGATACAGGGATCGAGTGCGCCACCCCTGAAGGCGCATCTCCGTGAAGGACAGGCCGAGGGGTGGGGACCCGGTAGGTGCCGAGGGACGCACACCCGAGCTCCCGCTCTGACCATATTTTCCTTCTCCCTAGTCTGTGCTGCTCCTCAGGCACGAGACAGAGTCCCAGCCGGGGCCTCTCTCCGGCCAGCTGCCCCCATGTCCTGTGCTTGTTTCCGTGGTGACTCCCTGCGTGGCCATGAGCACCGTGTTACCGGCTCCCTCCTGGGCAGAGATGAGGCTGCCATGTGTCACGGTGTCCAGTGCCCCATAGGAGGCGCTCAGTGGCCTCAGTGACCTGCGTGTGAGCCGCTCCAGGTCCGAGGAAGGAGCTAAACAGACTGGACACCCAGGCACATTTGGTGACCTCCCCCCAACAGGCTCCACTTGAGCCACGCGGGTCCCGGAACTGCCTGCAGCTGCCCCGCTACCCCCGCCCTGTCCCTGCTCACACGCAGGCAGTGCCCCTCCAGGGCGAGGCTCAGATCCCGAGGAGGCAGCGCGGCCGGACCACAGGCTGCTCAGCAAGCTGAGCCAAGATCTGAGGCCACAGGTGACTCTGGAGCTTGGCCGGGCCTCGTCTCACTCTCCCTGGAGGCCATCACACGTGCACTCAGCGGGTTCCAGCAGCGGGACTGGAGCTGTCTCGTGAGCGGGCGCGCGGCTCCCTGGCTGAGCTCGGGGGCTCCTGGACCTGCCGTGCATGATTCGTTCAGGAACAGGGTGTGGACCAGGCCCACGTTCTCCTTGGGGACACGTAAAATCAGTCCACAATTAACCACAGGACGTGAGAAAACAAAGCCACGCCCAGCATGGGACTACAGATATGTTCTGAGCCTCCTCCCGCTCAGCCCGGGCGCCAGGGCAAACACCACACACACGGCGGCCTGACGGCGGGGGGTCTTCAGTCCCTTTGGAGTTTATACCTGTGTGTGGTCCAGTGATGGAGGTGACGTGGAGCACGGGGAGCAGAGTCCATAGTGTTGTACCGCCGTGTGCTGACAGATGGTAACTGCGCTTCTCACGGGAGCGGGCACCTGTACAGAGGTCCAGTCCACATATGGCTCTCATGGGAGTGGGGCACTGCGTGCAGAGGTCCAGTCGCACGTGGCTCTCACGGGAGTGGGGCACCGTGTGCAGAGGTCCAGTCCACACGTGGCTCTCCCAGGAGCAGGGCACTGCGTGCAGAGGTCCAGTCCACATGTGGCTCTCACAGAAGTGGGGCACCGTGTGCAGAGGTCCAGTCCACATGTGGCTCTTACAGGAGCGGGACACCATGGGGACACCATGTACAGAGATCCATCCGCACATGGCTCTCCCGAGAGTGGGGCGCCACGTGCAGAGGTCCAGTCCACACATGGCTGTCCCAGGAGCGGGGCGCCACGTACAGAGGTCCAGTCCACACGTGGCTCTCACAGGAGCGGGACACCACGGGGACACCGCGTACAGAGGTCTAGTCCACACGTGGCTGTCCCGGGAGTGGAGCGCCACGTACAGAGGTCCAGTCCACACGTGGTACCTGTGAATGCATGCAGCATGCTGTGTCAGCTGTACGTGATGCCACCTGCTGTTGGAAAGAGCATGGGAGGAAGCCGGGGTCGTGGGGATGCCATTCTGGACCATGTATCTCAAGAGCCAGCAGAAGGTGCTCACCTTTTGGGCCAGCAGTTCCTTCTCCAGGACTCTGTCTGAAAGAACTCCATGGTCAGGTGTGCAAAGTGTGTACAACAAGGATGGTCATAGCAGCTGTCTGTGGTAGTGAAAATCTAGAGTTAACCTCCATGTGTGAAGTCTAGGACAATGCTTGAATTATAGTTACATTTTCACTTGCCAGAAACATGGAATATTATGTAGCCATTAGGAGACCACATAGGTGTAACTATATCTTAACATATTATTTTGTCATGTTCTGTTAACTTTTGAATGATATGATACACATAATATACATATGTATAATAATAAAATGCGTGTAGCGGGATCCCATTAAGGTGTGTGTGTATACACAGTGTATGCGGGTTGTTTGCACACTTGGAGAAGTTCCAGGTAGTGTACCAAAATGTCAAGAGATTCATGTTATATCAGTGGAAGGTATGCTATGTAGAATATTCTTTTTTCTGCTTCCTGCTCATGAATTATACTTTCATATCCTTATAAAAACCCAGAGGTTAGTGAATCATGGATCCCGGGCTGGACCTGGGGCTGCCCCGCTGCCCCGGCGAAGTGCTTGGTGCCCCGAGATCCGTGACGGCCATGGCTGGGCTTCGTGAGCTGTTGGGTTTCATGTCTGCAGTGGATGTGGTTGGGGAAGGGCCAGGGCCACCGAGGGTCCCGCCACAGAATGCCCTGTTCACAGTCCCCTTGTCCCCCGCAGGTGGAGACCCCGAAGTCTTTCCTCAGAGGCGGCTCTACACTGTGAGTTTGCCTCCTGAGGGCTACGCCCCAGCTCCCCCAGAGCCGCAGGCCAGCCCGGCCTCCGACGACAGCTCAGGCAGCGATGACCCAGGAGGAGAGTGCCACCTCTCAGGTGAGGCATGGTTCTGCAGGTTAACTCCACCCAGATTTATTGTGACAGGGCTGGCGAGTGGGTCGCTGGACGGCTACCCAGGGGCTGGTTTGTGTCCTGCAGTCACTAAAGGTGATGTCACCGAACTCATCGTGACAGGAAAACAGACTTGAGGCCGGAGGAGGTTCAGCTGGGCCCCGACCGTGGCTGTAATCACCTGTGCTGCTGTTAAATGTGTCACATGTTGATGGTGCTTGTTTTGGTTTAAGTAGAACTTTTTTCTTGATTTTCCATTTTTTTCAGCATTTCTAGGATAATATATCAGTTTTGTTATCATGGAAATAACCTACTTCGCTTCACTTTTGTGGAAGAATTGAATGACTGTTTTGTGCATGTGCTGCTGTTAACCCAGACGAGTTTCAGCCAGTGTAAACTCAGAAACTCTACACTATAAATATCAACAGAATGGGTTTCTTTGTACATTGATCTTTCCAAGTTTCTAACTGAAGGACCAGAAACCATAAAACCAAAACTGGGGTAGGTGAGGAATAATCTATCCATCTTTTCAAACCTGTTGAAAATCTTTGGAATGTGATTAGTAGATAAAGAGATTATTTCATTAGGAAATTTAACCATGTTCTTCTGAAGATGAGTTCCTTCGGGGAGCATACTTCACCGCGTGCTCAGTCTATTCAGTGAGAACTGGGTTGGACTCACTCCCGCGCCGCTGCGCTGTGCGCTGTGTCTGCTTCGCCCGCAGCCACGCCCGGTCAGCCCTGCCGAGAGGCCAGCGTGGGCCGGGCCGTGGGAGGGACCCCAGCGCCAGAGGCTTGAGTCTCCTGTGACCGGTGAGCTCCGAGCTGGAGGGACACCTTCCTGGGAGGCGAGGATGTTTGTACGAGGGGGACAGATGCTCTCCAGGAGGGCGGCCAGCCCATGGCGCCTCCCTGACAGCCGTGCGCTGAGGAGAGCAAAGGAGGAAAGACCAGGGGACTGAGGACCTGGGACTCATTCCCTTTAAGCTCCATGGGGACCTGACAGTTCAATAGTAAGTTGTGTAGCGTCTCTGTGAGGTGTTTGTTAGGCAAAATCTGTTAGTTTGTCTTTTCCTCTGTTACCTGTTTTAGGCATGGCCAGGGTGGAGAGAACCTTCCACGAGTCTTCCTTTCTCTGGGAAGGGGGTGATGATATGGGGGATGGTACTCGCAAGGGGCGCCCAGCCCACCACCCACCTAGGAGAGAGCAGACGGGTCCGTCCCTGAGATCAGTCCTGTCCACGTTGCTGTGTCCACGCTGACTCGCCCTCACCTTCGTCTGGGCTCCCGGTGACTTGGGCCCTGACGCTGTGCGACCGGCTGGCTGCCACTCGGGTCTGCGGCTCCTCACCGGCTCCGCTCACCTCCACAGGAACCACGGCTTGGCTTTAAGAGATGGCTCTTTCTAGAGGCCCTGTGAGTTCAGGCTCCTACAGCCACTTCTCCAGAAGAGCACTGAATACAGATCCAGGCGGGGAAGTCCGCATCTGTCACTATTGAACACTTGTAACCGGCGGCTAAATGTTTCCATCTACTTTGCTTAATATGCTTCCCAAATATTTTCTCCCCATTCGTTGTCAGCCCAGGAAGTGGGCCATCGCAGGGCACTGGAGGCGATGAGGTTGGAGAAGGTGTTAGCCCCCACCGCTCACCGAGGCCTCCCACCAGCGGTGCTGCGCCGGGGCCGTGCGGGCAGGATCTCGCCACGGCCTGGGGCCCACGCGGCTGCATAGCCACACATGCCCCCCACGCCC